AGCCCAGGCTGGAGTGCGGTGGTGTGATCTCAGCTCACTGCAACCTCCGCCTCCCGGGTTCAAGTGATTCTTCTGCCTCAGCCTCCAGAGTAGCTGGGATTGCAGGCGTGCACGACTGTACCTGGCTAATTTTTTGTATTTTTAGTAGAGATGAGGTTTCCCCATGTTGGCCCCTTGTCTTGAACTCCCTTCCTCAGGTAATCTGCCCGCTTCAGCCTCCCAAAGTGCTGGAGTTACAGGCGTGAGCCACCGTGCCTGACCTAAAGTGCTTTTCAAAAGAACTGACACTTCCCTTTGTCTTTAAATATTTCTCAGTGCCCTGGTAAAGACCTGGAGACCTGGACTTTTTTAGGAGACAAAGCTGGGGACAGGTAAGTTAGTTGCCTATGATAATTTTAATTTATTATTCTCATTTCTCTATATCTTTTTTTTTCTTTTCATTGTGCCATCTGGGAACTCAGCCTTATTTAGCATAGGTCATGACTGACTCCAGATTTAAGTTAAACAACCAAGAAAACAGCTGAAAGCAATGTGGGTTACCTAGCACTCGTATATTGGATCCAGAATATTTTGGCATTTCTTTCCATGTTTATAAGTTTAGAAATTCTAAAATTATGTTCTGTTCCCTCTAATCTAGCATTCCCAGAATCCATTTTTACATTCATTCTCTGGGTTTCTGGTGATATAAATTAACCAATTCTTGTAATTTGTTGTTGTTGTTGTATATTCCATGGTTTGACTTTGTAACTTATCTTAAAGGGCATGTTGGATAATGTCTCTAGTCGTGAGTATAGAAGCAAGGAGGAGAGAGTCTTGGGAGGAATTGACACTCCTTGAGTAGCAACCACCTTAGGCGAGGCATTTAAAATCAAGGCTCCTGTATCGTCAGGAACAGACTTAATGGACGAGGAAGCAATTTCATCTGGTAAGAGAGGTTTAGTAGTTTTAAGGGTTTTGGTATCTGGACTCCATTCTAGCTCTTTATTTTTTTTGAGACGGAGGCTTGCTCTGTTGCCCAGGTTGGAGTGCAGTGGCATGATCTCGGCTCACTGCAACCTCCACCTCCTGGGTTCAAGCAATTCTCCTACCTCACCCTCCCCAGTAGCTGGGACTAATTAGCCACCATGCCAGGCTAATTTTTGTAGTATTAGTAGAGACAGGGTTTCATCATATTGGCCAGGCTGGTCTTGAACTCCTTACCTTGTGACCCACCCACCTCGGCCTCCCAAAGTGCTGGGACTACAGGTGTGAACCACTGTGCCTGGCCCTCCGTTCTGTTAGGGCCCCACCATTTCTCAATTATCTCCTTAACTGCTGGTTAACAGAGGGCTGTGAAAGCAACCTACTTCGCAATTGGGCAAATTCAGGATCACATTCTGAGTTTCAGTAATATCAGCCAAACAACTGCAAGATATAAGGGACACTTGTTTAGGGTAGTCATAGAAACGCTTTAATCTGTGCTTGTGTTTTGAGCTGGTAGCTTTAACGTTGAGCTTGGCAGTTTCTTTCTTTGAGCTTTCCTGTGTGGAAGCAGGGGTCACTCAGTCTTGCCAATAGAAGGTTACTTCATTCCAGGCTACTGTGGGTGATCACTTAAGAAACACTTTGGTCCCATATAAGATGAACTGTAATGGTAATAGGATTGATGGGATTGTTACTGCTTTCAAATCCAACTGAGGAAGAAAAATTAGTCTAAGATTCTTACTTCTTTGTGTGTCTGTTAATAGCAAAATCTTTGGCTTTAGTTATTCTGTGGTTTACTGTTCTTAGTTTGAATCCCCTCTTGCTAGTTATGACAGAAAGGGCTTTATTTTAGGATGCTAGGTAGCTCACAGAATTGCTGCAATGACCAGATCATCAGGCTTTGACTTTATAAATGCAAACATATTTCAAGTTTTACCAATTATATCTAAAGGAAATCCAGCCTGTCCGTATTTCAGGGCCCTAATACCATTTCCTCTTACCCTGACGATAATTTCCAGGAAGACAGTTTTGCAGATATATGTTATCCAGTGTTTTCCTTAATCCCTTTGGCTCATGTTACTATTATAAGGGTCAGGCAAAGATATTAAAACCAAAAGGCAAATCCTACACTCATTTTTAATTGGCAAGGAAATGCTGCATTAAAATGTTTTATAAACACTATCCTGGGAGGCCGAGGCGGGTGGATCACAAGGTCAAGAGATCGAGACCATCCTGGTCAACATGGTGAAACCCCGTCTCTACTAAGAATACAAAAACATTAGCTGGGCATGGTGGCACGTGCCTGTAATCCCAGCTACTCAGGAGGTTGAGGCAGGAGAATTGCCTGAACCCAGGAGGTAGAGGTTGCAGTGAGCCGAGATCGTGCCATTGCACTCCAGCCTGGGTAACAAGAGCGAAACTCCGTCTCCAAAAAAAAAAAAGAAAAAAAAACCACTATCCTGTAACAAGGCCAAGAACTTACCTATTTGTTGTTTCTTTTCCCTAAAAAGACTGGCAATTGACTCTGATTTACCTTTGCGTAAACTTTTGCTTTTAATAGTAAGCAGACTTCTTTTGCTCTGAGGTTGAAGAGTTGGTGGTTTTACTTTTAATTTTTAAGGAAAATAACTACCCTGGTGCCTTTGATTTTCTGGAAGCCCAAGTCCTGTTTTATTAAAGCCAATTCTTCAGTAAAAGAACATTGGCAAAGGACTATTTTTGTACTTCTTTCAAAATGACCTTGGGGGTCCCATGCATAAAGTTTTTGGAATTAAAAAAAAAATCCTGGTAATTGATGATTTTAGGTTAAGTGACCAGAGTCCCAGCAATCAGATCTTTTAGGCAAATAAACTATATTTTTATCCCCCAAACACTCTTTAATAGAACAGGAAACAAACATGAAAGGAAGGCCTAAAGGAAGCTTGGCTGTTTATTCTGGTTATGTTGTTCAGATAATTGTTCCATTCTTTCTCTCCCTTATTTGCTAATGCCGATGCCCTAAGAGCTATTATTTTGTTCTCTTAGAAGCAGACCACAGTTTTAGAAAATTTATACAGTTCAGGAGCGGTAAACTCATACAAAATCTTTACTTAATATTTTGTGAGGTTACTATCTCATGAGGGTCCATCT